TGTGCCCTGGGTGGCTTCTAGCTTTTGAGCCCACCCTCCTTTTGAGATTGAGGCTGGGTGCTTGGGACTGAGCATCAGTCTGCAAACAGGTTGAACTGGTTTCCTAGGACTTGTGCTATCTAGCCTGGCTCAGACCAAACTCTCCAAGAATATCAGTGGCTGGCCCTGTCCTTAGGGCATAGGGAGGGTTGCTCCTGTGGGGCTGAGACAAAGGATGTGCCTGCCCAGAGGCCAACAGTCAACCAAGCCAGTCTATTCCTGTTCCCACCGGAGCCTTGGAATAAGATTTAATGTGTGTGATGTGTGCGTGTATGTGTTTAGAATTAAGATAAAAGGGAATATTATTTTCTGGTAAGATCAAGGGATTGGAGACAAAATAAAATAATAATCAGGGCATAGTTGCTTGGCATGAAATGTTAACTTCCAAGTTTTTTTCTTTTTTTAAGATTTATTTATTTATGCATACAAGAACTGGGGTATAGGCCAGAGGTGTGGGGTAGTGGGGGGAGGTGAGAGGATTCACCAGAGACAGAGTGGGGAGCAGAACAGGCAGATTGATGAAGTACACTGCTGAGAGGAGCAGCAGGTGGGTCAGGAGAGGTCTGCCAAGCCACCTCCCTGGCCAGAGATCGAGCTTATGCTGCGGTGGCTGTGGCTGTTGCTTTGTAGTGCTGTGCTTTAACCCATTGCACCACCAGGGAGGGCCCCAACTTCCAAGTTCTTAAGAGAAAAGGAATAAGAAGCAAGAAGCATTCCTGATCTGTGATGTGTGTTCTTCCCACTCACAGGGGAAACGAGAATGCTTTCAAGACATGTGCCCTTGGTTGAGGTCCTGAAAATGGAGGGACCCAATCCCTGCTAATAAGAAGCTTGCTTGGCTCCTAATACAAAGAGTACATTAGGTTGCTAGAACTAGAAAAACTTAACTTAGGATATTATAATCAAATTGGGGTTTTTTCTTTTTTTCTTTTTTTTTTTCTCATGTAATAGGAATCCAGAGGTAGAAGTCCAGGCTCCTCCTGGACCAGGATGGAGGCCATCAGGGACCAGGTTCCTCCTCATTTTCTAGCCAGCTTTTAACAGGGGGTTCTCGTTATTTTTATCACCTTGCAGTCCAGCGTAGAGTCTAAGTTCCAGGCAGGGAGAAGGGGAGGGTGAGCTGAGA